AAAGTACAGTGCTAAACAATAACAAGAATAGTAATACAAGAATTATTCTAGAATGGGTAACATTTCAAGAGTAAATGTTAGTGAAAATCAGGCAAGGGGTAGTGATGATCTTGGGTGAAGATCAAGTGTAACAACGTATAATCCGATTAGCAAGGTTTTTGTCTCCGTTTGCTATCATTTCCTGTATATCAGAGATATCAATTGAACTTTCTCTTATATTTTGTTTAACATAAATTTGCCCCTCCTGTAGTGCCCTCTATCTCATAGATGAGTTCAACACGAAATATCGCCATCTTGGAGGCTACGCGAACCTTCCATCTTTGTATCACAACAAGTGTTTAAAATATTTGACTGGTTTTATCTCCCTTATATGTTCTGAATATAGGTTTGCTTGTCCATATGGATAAAGCGTGGGAAATGCTTTTACCATGTAACCTGGTAATTGAAATTCACTTATAGGAATTTTTTTGATATCAGGCCAAGATATTGGTGGATTATTGCTCTGTATTCATTCAAGTGTTTCATTTATGCCAGCTTCTTCTCACTGTGTAGGTGGGAGTAATGGTACAAACGTTATTGTTACCACTTCATTGTCATCTTTATTATCATTTGAAATATTATCAGCTGTTTGATCAACCGAATGCCGTGGAATCATGTTGAGAATAGATCCATTTACTGGTAAGCTTTGAAGTATGTCATTATCGATTATTATGTCCTTGTAATAAGAATTATTATCTTATAACCATAATAAAGCTCTCCATATATTTTTTTTGCGTACAGTAAAGTCTCTAAACGTGTTTGGTTTATCCGATAATTAACATCGTACAACAAAAATATCTAATGTTAAAGGATCTCATAAAAGCTTATTTATAAAGCTTTAGATGTCTTGAGGAAAGTTAATGATATTTTCTCTGTACCCATTCTGTCCTCCTTTAAGACGATGTACCGTTATAACTGTGAAGACTTGGGAGATTAACATTTTTTCGATTTCTGTAAGCCCTTTGAGTTTGTCTGGTACCTTCTCAGGATCCATGTTATTTTCAGCCGAAAACTTCTTTGGTATGGACTTTTCTGTATAGCATTGTCTATACATTCCTTTAACAAGCGTCATGCATGGAATTTGTTCATTGCATATATTACAAAGTTTATAACTTATATTATCCATTTTGTTTTGGAATTCTTGTAGTAGATGATGTTCAACTTCATTAATAATAGTGGCTGAGTTACAAAACTCTTGTGGTTGAGATTGTTCATTCTCATTGATGGCTGTGATGGAATTATAGGAATCTTGCTATTGATGTTGTTCACACTCGATAGGAGTTGCATTATTCGAATTATGTTGACAATATTCTTTTTTTTTAATTGAAGTGGCTGGGCTACGAATATCTTGATGTTGCCTTTGCTCTATTTCATTAATTGAGATGGCCTGGTTTAATCTGGTTTGTATGATTGAACTTCTGTGATTTCGCTCAACAT